GACCTTTGGTGTAATCTCTGCTCCCCAATCTATTACACACGATGGCACACATATAAAATGATAATACCTGTAGGATGAATAGAGGCTGTGCAGTGAGTAGAGACTGGGAATTGAGAGCTCACGCTGCCCAGTCTCTCTAAGGCAAAGGGGTTTAATATACCAGCATGCCTGTGACCCACCTGAAGTACACCAGTTGTAATATCTATCTCCTCTTGTGTGTGAGTGGGGCAGATAGGGACAGACCAATAGTCAGTGACCTGAGATCACTTTTAATTGTTCTCAGAAGGCATGTGGGCACCAGAGGCCTATAGGAAAGGAAGCAGCATAAATTGCCAACAGGACAGAGATGCTACTTAGGAGGTCAGAGTAATCTTGTGCTAGAATGGGGTGGGGTCCTAACGCTGAACCCTCCTTTTATTCTGGCTATTTTTTTTTTTATAGGAAACTCGAACTCTCTACCAGTTTCATTACAGGAATTGGCCAGACCATGATGTGCCTTCATCCATAGACCCTATTCTTGAGCTTATCTGGGATATGCGTTCTTACCAAGAGGATGACCATGTTCCCGTGTGCATTCATTGCAGGTATGATGCTGTTCTTTGAACTTTCTACCCAAAACCAACCACATGTCGTAGCCTGGCCAGGACTCCTGCTGAAACTGAAGGAACACTGACTTTGTTGGAATGTAAGCTGGTACAGGCATGTAGCATATAGGCTCTTGATACTAGTCTCACTTTCTCCAGTTGATTAGAAAGGAATGAAGCTGAGACATGAAAGTGATAGGAAGAGAAAGGTCGGTAGCAGAAACAGACCATAATACAGTCAACCTGAGCATTAAAGTAGTATTTTCTGACAAGTTACTGGAGAACAGTGCCGCTCCAGACACCCTTGCGGGTGAGAAGTGGCCGAGGATCTGTCCCGAGGCTCAGTGTGTGCATGTGGCAACCAAGAGATGTGCTCTGGGAAATGGGGGGTTTAGAACCTTTTGTTGCCTCTCGGTTACTTCTTCCTCAATCTGCTGGTGAAATTTCCCAGCTACTGTCAACAATGCAGTCTCTGCAACTGTATGTGCCACTGTGATCTTTCCTTTCAGTGCCGGTTGTGGAAGGACTGGTGTTATCTGCGCTATCGATTATACCTGGATGTTGCTAAAAGACGGGGTGAGTTTCTCTCCGCAGGCGCTTCCCGTTTGCCTACCCTGTTACATGCAGACTTAGGAATTGTTTGGTTCTTCCAAACACCTATTTCCATGACTCCTATTTTCTAGAATATTCACTTGTAGACTCACTTTGTCAGATGATTAAATCAGTCCCTAAGTTGGTGGTCCTCGAAGTGTCCCAGAGAAGCAGCATCATCATCACCTGAGAACTTGTTAGAAATGCAAAATCTTGGGCCCTACCTTGGGTGAACGGAAGCAGAAACTGGAGGTGGGGGCCCAGCAAGCTCTCCAGGTGCTTCTGATGCTTCTGAAGTGTTTGAGAATCACAGCCCCAAATTACACAGGTACCCTTCCTTTATCCAAATGGCTGTAATGGATGGACTCAATCTACCCCAATCAAGCCTTGTGTTCCAATCTATAAATCATTTAAAAAAATTTTTTTTAAATGTTTTGTTTATTTTTGAAAGAGAGAGAGAGAACACGTGGAGGAGGGGCAGAGAGAGGGAGACACAGAATCCTAAGCAGGCTCCAGACCCTGTCAGCACAGAGCCCGACGCGGGGCTCGAACTCACAAACTGTGAGATCATGACCTGAGCTGAAGTCAGTGCCTAATGGACTAAGCCACCTAGGTGCCCCTAGAAATCATTTTCTTAAAGTCTAATAATAGGAAGTGAGAAGTGTGAAATATGGGCTTTAAACCTATCTGCCAACTTCTTTTATTTCATAAAATTCTCATATTTGCTCACCTACCCAGGCTCCACCTTCATTATATGTTTAACTTCAGACATCTGGTCACCCCATGTGAAATCATTCTCAAGAGTTTCTTCGGTCTTTTCTGGGGAAAACACCAGGCTCTAAATCATGACACAAGTGAAGAGAAATCTCATTCATTTTAAAGACGCATTCTTTTTCTGATATGATCTTGTGTTAGGACAACAGATGCCATGGGGGTAACAAGACCGTGAGAAATAATTTATTAGCAAAGCTAGGAACAAAGGAATAAGATATTGTTTCTCTTTATTTGATAGATCATTCCTGAGAACTTCAGTATTTTTAGTTTGATCCAGGAAATGCGAACACAAAGGCCTTCATTTGTTCAAACTCAGGTATGCAACTATTGTGAATGGATGGTAACATGTGTCTGGGTCTTCCTACCTCTCTCGGTTTCATAGTAAGGCATCCCCAAATAGCTGATTTTTAGCTATAACACCAATTTACTACTAAGTGCATGAGTCCATTTGCATTTCCTCAAACTCTGAATATATCAATATTTTTCCTACATCCCTGGCTTGGGTCACATTCCTCTCATTCCTTGTATTCTACTGTCTGTGCAAAAAATATGAAGAAACTCAGTAACTTTATGTTTCTTACAAGGGATGTTGAAAAAGTTCAACAAGCTCTTTGACGTACTCAAGATATAATACCTGGGTCAGGTTAACTTGCTGGTTTGTAGTAGTGATTCATTTCTGAAACCAGAGAAAATCAGAGACTTGTAATTTCTACTTCAGGAAGTGGTAACAGAATCTGGGGAATGCATTTTATATACTCATTTTTTGATTTAATTAAAAATAAAAATAAAATCAACCATAATCCTATCACCTAGAGGTAGCCACGATTATTATTGTTCTATAGTCTCTCCTGATCCTTATTGTGTGCAAACTTAAAAAACATAATTACAATCATACTATACATATGATTATATATATGTATCACAAGATACATGTATTATATATACGGATCACATATATACGATCACAATATTATATGCATCACAATACATTATATGTATATATATGTATGTATGTACATATGTATATATGTATCACCATATTTTAATCCACCCCAAATTACTCATGCCCCTTCATTCCATTCAGATGCTCTTCCTCGGTTTTGTCCTCTCCTCCCCACTTAAGCTCCGCCTCCTCGATGAAACATTCCCAGCACAGATCTCTCACTCTCTACGATGTTAATTTCACCCAGATTTCCACGCCAATCGTTTTACCCACATTTCTAAATAAATGGTCTCCATCTTTAAGATGGAGTTTGGCATTCCTCATTCCTTATTCACCAAGTGTTTACTGATATTTATTAAGCAACAGACACTTTCACACAATTTGGTACAACTAATTTTTGCTGCTTAAGTAGCAAGACCTTCAAGTGTTTAAAGCACTTACAAAGTGAACTTGCACGTAGATTTGGAGGTAAAATAATTGACAGCGACAGTTTAGATATTTTCATCTAGCATTTGTGAATGGGAGGGAAAAAATGAAGAGCTATTATAATATAAGCCTTCTGTTTGGCCCACACAGGTTTTCCACTAATAGCTAGTGGAAAAAAACTTTTTTTTTCATGTGTTGACTGTAGGTGTTTCTATATTCAGCTTGTAAGGGAAAAAGTTTCTGTGAAATGTAAGCATTGGCTGGTTTAGTGCTACCAGACTTCAAAGAAGGCTGATCCCTGTAAATGTATAAAGATTCCAGGAGGTTGCATCCTAGTTGTCTAATATCACACTGTGAAACTGCATCAAGAAATACAACCATACCCCATTTCAGAGAAAGTTCATTTCAGGCCTACTTGTAAGAGTTGGAAGACAGCCGAAACGATTTTAAGTTAGCCTTCCCATGCTGGCACTATCAGCAACTAGCTGAACAAATACCTTACCAGTTGTAGCTGCTTTTTCTGACACCACGCTAACCAGGAAATAACCACTGTAACCAGCTGGGTGCTTCCTGTCTGATTTTTCTCTCTTCTTAAAAAAAATAGAAGAGTGTACCAATGGATGTGTTGGGTGATAGACCCTATTGTTCTCCTGCTAAAATTGTAATTGGCAAAGGTTGTGCTTTATTTGTATGGAGTTGTGTAAAGTGTCAGGGGAAACCCTGTTTAGGCTCTTTCAGATGAAAAGTAGATACAAAATCAAGTGCTTGATCAAGTATGGCGGCAGGAAACTCCCCACAAATCTTGTAATTGTGGTGGTCTCATTTTCTATGGTGAAATCCTTTTACAAGCACAAATTTCCAAACCCTTCAGTGCTCTACGTCGCTTCAGTATCTCTGCTAGAACATTTCAGCAGCTTGATCCAAGTGCACTAAACTAAGAGTCAGAAGATTCAAGTTCTAATTCAAGTCTGGACCTTACTTCTGAATGACCTTGCACAGTGTGAACAGGAATAACAGGCTACCTACTTTACAGATCAATTGTGAGGGTCGAGTTTGAGAATACATATTGAAGCCATCTATCTACCCATCAACCACAATTCTATCTAACTTTTTCTGGAAAAGATGAAGGTAACTGACAAAAAAAAAAAAATGCATCCAGGATCCAATACAACTTTTAAAATGTAAGCAAGGAAAATAGAACTGCAGGGATGATGGTGGAGAGAAAGATAAGTGAGAAGGTGGAGTAGAACATAAAACATGCTGGAAGGCCCTTCCTTGTATATTTAGAGGTAGACGATCAAATATTTAGTGGCATTTAGCAGCCTAAAAGCGCTTTGCAATCCGAAATGGGCCACACAAACATAAGGGCACTACAATTAAACTACTGTTGATGATCTTCAGATCTGCTACACTAAGATTTGACTGATGTGCATACTCCCAAACTCTGGTTCTGTATTTCACCAAGTTTTTTGTTTGTTTTCCCTTGTTCCGGTTTGTGATGCTCTGCAGGAACAGTATGAACTGGTCTACAAGGCTGTATTAGAACTATTTAAGAGACAGATGGATGTCATCAGGGGTAAAAAGTCAGGAACAGAGGTAAACATTAAACATGATATTTTGTCTCTCTTTCTTTTTCATATTTGATTTTGGTCAAGGGATCTCAGATCAGTTGTCGAACTTACCTAATGATCCATTGTCACAAGTAAATGGGATATGGGGTGCGTGGGGCTACGCTGCCGATCTCCTGTGGAGAAGGACAAATTAATTGAAGTACTCCAATGTAGAAAATGAATCTCTTGGTTCACCTATGGTATACGATTTTCAGCGAAATTTAGAAACCATAGGAGTGAGTGACAGGGCAAGTGTATATTCTCTTTCCACGTAAATAGCTGTGTCGCCAGTTAAAAGTGAGAGTGACAACCCTAAAGTGAATTCAGAGTTGAGTACTGATGTGAATTTTCAGGTTCTTCTAGCTGCGTTTTGATTGCGTATGCCTCATCAAATTTTGTCAATATTTTAGAGCATGTAGAGGATTTTCAACTGAAGGTCTTAGGTATAAAAACAATTATGATTTAACCAAATTCCAGTTAAGAAATATTGAGCATTCTAGGATATGCTATTTTGATCTCATCATGAAAACTGAGAAGTCAAGTACTTGTTCTATATAGTCACAAAGTATTAGGTTCTGAACAAACTTTAGGAAGACAAAATTACTGTTTTACCTTGCAAGGGTATATTTAGTTACATATACATATTAACTTAATTTTTAATATTAAAATTTTTTTTCAACATTTATTTATTTTTGAGAGAGAGAGAGAGAGAGAGCACGTGTACACACAAGTGGGGGAGGGGCACAGAGAGAAGGAGACACAGAATCTGAAGCCAGCTCCAGGCTCTGAGCTGTTTGCATACAGCCTGATGTGGGGTTCAAACCCACGAACCGTGAGATCATGACTTGAGCCAAAGTTGGAAGCTTAACCGATTGAACCACCCAGACACCCCTGAATTCTTAATCTGAAAATATTCACTGAGGACCTACTGTTATCACAGTATTAAGAATACAAAGTATGTAAGACATGATTCTGATGGTAACTCCTGTCAGTTGAACGCTGAATCATGGGGAAAGGAAAGAAAGCCAGAAAAACTGTTGAGGCTTGAAATGGACTAAGTAATCCTATTGTTAGTGTCAACTTCAAGGAAAAACAATGTGGTAGAAGGACATGGAAATAAGAATATAGTTTTGTTCGAAATTGCTACTTGTATCCTGTTTATGTCTACTTCATTGGCTAGTGTTCCCAGGTTAAATGATAGAGGCGATTATGGACAACCGAATTTTAATGGAGAAGATTCTCATGTTTCACTATAAAGTGTGATGCTGACTTGGAGACATTCGTTTGTTTGTTTATACCTCTTAATCTATTTCACCCTTTCTGCCACAAGCCTCCCTTCTGGCAACCACCAGTTTCTTCTCTATAGTCAAGAGTCTGTTTTTTGCTTGTTTATTTTGCTTTTTAGATTCCCCATATCAGTGAAAGCATAAGGTATTTGTCTTTCTCTGTGTGACTTATTTCACTTAGCATAATACTCTCTAGATCTGTCCATGTTGTTGCGAATGGCAAGATTTCATTCTTTTTTGTGGCTAATATTCCATTATATATATATATATATATATATATATATATATATATATATATAGTAATATATGTATTATTGCATGTAGCTGTCCAGTTTACACACACACACACACACACACACACACACATATCACTTCTTTATTCAGCTATGGATAGACACTTGGGCTGCTTCCGTAATTTGGCTATTGCAAATAAAGCTGCCATAAACATAGGCATGCATATATCCCTTCGAATTAGCGTTTTTATATTCTTCGGGTAAATACCCAGTAGTGTGATTACGCGATCAAATGGTAGTTCTATTTTTAATTTTTTAAGGAAACTTCATACTGTTTTCCATAGTGGCCACACCAATTTCTATTCCCACCAACAATGCACAAGGGTTCCCTTTTTGCCACAACCTCTCCAACACATGTTGTTTCTTATGTTTTTGATAGTAGCCGTTCTGACAGGTGTGAGGTGACATCTCATTGTGGTTTTGATTTGCATCTCCCTGATGATTAGTGATGTTGAGCATCTTTCACGTGCCTGTTGACCATCTGCATGTCTTCTTTGGGAAAATGTGTATTCACATCCTCTGCCCATTTTCTAATCTGATTTTTTTTTTGTATTGAGTGTATAAATTCTTTATATATTTTGGATATTAACCCCTTATGGATATATCATGTACAAATATCTTTTCCCATTCAGTAGGTTGACTTTTTATTTTGTTGATGATTTCCTTTGCTGTGCAAAAGCTTTTCATTGTAGTGTAGTCCCAGTAGTTTTATTTTTACTTTTGTTTCCCTTGCCTGAGGAGACATATCCATAAATATTTTGCTAAGGCCAATGTCCAAGAGATTACTGTAAGAGATTACCTATGTTTTCTTTTAGGAGTTTTATGATTTCAAGACTTGCATTTAGGTCTTTAATCCATTTTTACTTTATTTTCTTATATGGTATAAGAGAGTGGTCCGGTTTAATTCTTTTGCATGTAGCTGTCCAGTTTTCCCAACACCATTTACTGCAAAGACTGTCATTCCCCATTGTATATTCTTTTCACCTTTGTCACAGATTAGTTGACTATATAAATGTGGGTCTGTTTTTGGGATCTCTGTCTGTTCCATTGATCTACGCATCTATTTTTGTGTCAGTACCATACTGTTTTGATGAATATAGTTTGTAATATATCTTAAAATCTGGGATTGTGACACCTCTAGCTTTTTTCTTCTTTCTCAAGATTGGCTTTGACTATTTGAGGTCTTTTGTAGTTCCATACAAATTTTAGGATTATTTGTTCTAGTTCTACCAATTGCTATTGGTATTTTGACAGGGGCTGCATTGAATCTGTAGATTGTTTTGGGTTGTATGAACCCAAGTGTTAACAGTATAAACTCGTCCAATTCATGAGCATGGTATATCTTTCCATTTGTTGTTGACATCTTCAATTCCTTTAACTAATGTCTTATAGGTATAGGTCTTTTACCTCCTTGGTTAAATTTATTCCTAGGCATTTTATCCTTTTTTGGTGCAATTATACATTTGACTGTTGTTTTTTAATTGTTTAAAGAGAGTATTTATTAATTTCTATTTTACTAGGAAATTTTTAGAGAAAGAATGTTGAAGTCTCTCAATTGCATATTTTTGCACTCGTGGAGTGATCACATGGATTTTCTCCTTTAACCTATTAGTACAGTCATATCATTGGATTTGGTGGTGTCAAACCATCCCTGTACTCTTAGAATGGACCCTTCTTGAACAAAAGATATTCTTTTAATGTGTTGCTAGAGTATGCGGACTAATATTTTATTTAGGTTCCAGAAAATGACAATACTCAAATTTAGCCCAGTAGCAGTGTCATGGCTCCAGGTGAGTTGCCTGAAGTGGGCCTTTAGTCAGTAGATGGGAACATAGGAACACAGCTCAAACTCCCATAGAGGGAATTGGTTAAAGTTAACTAAAGAGGATTTCTGTTTCTGGGAAGATCAAGTGGACATACTTTTCCCCCCCTATTCCTCCCACTAAGTGCAACTGGAAACAACTGACATTATAAATAAAACAACTCTAAGAAGGCTCTGAAAGATAGAAAGAAGTCAGACTAGCTAGGGACTTTGGGACCTGAGGAAAGACATGATGATAAGTTCCTTGGGTTTTCTTTTGCCTCATTTTTGCAGACTTGGAACTGAAAGTCAACAACCTGGAAATGCCAATGGTACAGACAAACAAAACAAAACAAAACAACAACAAAAGCCTGCTCTGTCTAGGCAAAGGATCAGTAAAGGGGCAGCTCCAGCAAGATAGAAAACGTTTAGATAATCATTACTCTCCTTTAGTCAACACCACAGAAAATAATGGCCCCTAACCCCACCCATGTCAGCAAAGGCTGAGTGGGGTACTAGATTCCCATCTTTCATTCTTTCTTTCTTTCTTTCTTTCTTTCTTTCTTTCTTTCTTTCAGGTTTGTTTATTTATTTTGAGAAAGAGAGCAAGCACAAGCAGGTGAGGGGCAGAGAGAAGGAGAGACAGAATCCCAAGGAGGCTCCACACTGTCAGCGCAGAGCGCCATGCGGGGCTTGAACTCAGGAACCATGAGATCGTGACCGGAGCTGAGATCAAGAGTCAGATGCTTAATCGACTAAGCTACCTGGGCGCCCCCTAGATTCTCACCTTTCTAAAACCGTAGTAAAGTGCTGAAGTGGTGTCAGAGAAGATCAGGTAAAGAGCGAAGACTTTCATCCCCATTGGCCTCCATGAGAGCTTCCTGCAGTGTCAGTGGAGACCACATGGGGAGCCTCTCCTGATGTGTTTCTGCTTGGGTGTCAACAGAGGCTCAGCGAGCAGACTAGGGGAGGTCGATTCTATGTGGCAATAACAAGGCAGTAATGAGGCAGCACCTTTCCTTTCCCCTGTCAGAATGGAGTTAAAAATAGAAGAACCCAGTTAAAAGAGGCTTAACTAAGATCCAGAGCCTCATAACGATACAGAAATGTCTAGGGTTCGATTGAAAATTACATGTCATACCAAGAATCTGGGAAGACCTGAAACCAAATGAATGAAAGACAATCAATAGATGACAATACTGAGATGACAGAGATGTTAGAATTATCTGACAAAGATTTTAGAGCAGCCACTGTAAAAATGCTTCAATGAGCAATTACAAACATGCTTGAAAAGATTTTAAAAATGGAAAATCTTGGGGCGCCTTGGTGACCTTTCGCTTAAGCGTCCGACTTTGGCTCAGGTCATGATCTCACTGTGTGGTCGAGCTCCACATTGGGCTCTGTGCTGACAGCAAGGAGCCTGGAGCCTGCTTCGGATTCTGTGTCTCCCTCTCTCTGTCCCTCCCCTGTTTGCTCTCTCTCTCTCTCTCTCTCTCTCTCTCTCAAAAACAAACATTAAAAAAAATAATAAACATTAAAATTTTTTGAAAAAAAGAAAAAGGAAAGTCTCAGCAAAGAATTAATAAAAGGGTTCAGCAAAGAAACAGAAGATATAAAGAGGAACCAAATGGGAATTTTAGAACTGAAAAAGGTAGTAACTGAAACAAAATAGCTTAGTAGATAGGCTCAAAAGCAGAATTCAGGGTACCTACAGAAAAAAAGAACTAATGAACTAGAAAATGAACAGAGAAAAA